GAACCCGTGTCCCCTGCATCGGCAGGCGGACTCTCAACCACTGCGCCACCAGGGAAGCCCTGCCCAGCCCTTCTTCACCTTGACCTTAACACATTCAACACCCCATTTTTCCCATCCACAAAAAATCCAAATGACAGGAAGACTGCAAAACATCTCCATACAAGGAGGAACTGTCCCTGTCTCCTCTGTGGTCACAGGAGTTGGTCCTGGATGCCCAGCTCACTCTCAGGTCTTCCTCAAAGAAGGGAAAAAAGAACAAGAGAGCTCTATCCTATCCAAAGGCTATCACTGAGTTATATACTGTTGTCTATCACACACACACACACACACAGTGGTACAGACATACCTCATTTTATTGTTTTGCTTTATGGCACTTTGCAGATGCTGTGTTTTTTACAAATTGAAGATGTGTGGCCACGCTGCGTCAAGCAAGCCTACTGGCGCCAGTTTTCCAACAGCATTTTTTCACTTCATGTCTGTGTGTGATGTTTTGGTAGTTCTCACAATACTTAAACTTTTTTATTGTTATGTTTGTTATGGTGATCTGTGATCAGTGATCTTTGATGTAACTATTGCAAAAAGATTATGACTTGCTGAAGGCTCAGACGATGGTTACCATTTTTTTAGCAATCAAGTATCTTTATTTTTTTTTAATTAATTATTATTTATTATTTATTTTTGGCTGCGTTTGGTCTTTGTTGCTGTGTGCGGGCTTTCTCTAGTTGCAGTGAGCGGGGGCTACTCATTGCAGTGCACAGGCTTCTCATTGCGGTGGCTTCTCTTGTCGTGGAGCACAGGCTCTAGGCGTGCAGGCTTCAGTAGTTGTGGCTCGCGGGCTCTAGGGCGCAGTCTCAGTAGTTGTGGCGCACAGGCTTAGTTGCTCCGCGGCATGTGGGATCTTCCCAGACTAGGGCTCGAACCCGTGTCCCCTGCATTGGCAGGCAGATTCTTAACCACTGCACCACCAGGGAAGTCCCCAAGTATTTTTAATTAAGGTATGCACATTTGTACTTTTAGACATAATGCTATTGCACACTTAAAAGACTACAGTATAATGTAAACATAACTTTTATTTGCACTGGGAAACCAAAAACTTTGTGACTTGCTTTATTGCAATATTCACTTTATTGCAGTGGTTTGGGACTAGCCCTGCAATATCTCCAAGGTATGCCCGTATTTCAGTGGTGATAAGTTGAAAACCTGACAGCCAATTCTACAGAATCCCTAAGCCTTCTACATCAACCGTTTCCCCTTAGAAGCTCAGTTTGTGAGTTTTTATTCCACAGGCTGGGTGACTTTCAGACTTTGGCACCTATTTCTATTTAGATATCTAGCTTGGTTCCCCAGCAACCAGCCAGCGCCCCTCCCTCCCTCTTCCCCCATTAGGGAGCCAGCTTACTATACTAGCAGAACAGGTCAAACGGAGATCAATCCTGGACAAATCAGTGCTTGAGGGAACTTTAATGAAAGCAAAAAAAAAAAAAAAAAAAAAAAAAAAAAAAAAAAAATGTGGTGCAAGAACAAGGCAGAAATGTTCTGTTCCAGGCAGTTTTGCCTTGTACAAGTAGAATGAAGTCACTGAGTCAGAGTTTGAAAGCTGGCATTATTTCAGGCATCATTCCAACTCCTTCATTTTACAGTAATGAATCTGAAGCCCAGAGGCTAAATGACTTGGTTCAAGGTCACACCACTGGAAGCAAAGCTGCAGCTAGAACCCTGGTGTCCAAACTCCCAGGCCAAATCTCCTTCTACTACATTACACTACCATGGGGAGGTTTAAAAAAGAAAGGGAAAGTATGAAGGGTGATTTTTCCATAAATTAAATCAACTTTAAAAGCTAGGCATATTTGGAGAGTCAGAGAGTACTAATATTGTTAGAAAGAAGAAAGGTTTAAAAGCTGGTTAAATCTAATAAAAAATATCCATATGTACAATATTGTAAAAAAGAGAAGGAAGATGGCATTCATGATTACTGGGCTGGCAGCGCAGGGGACAGTTGCATGCTAGGCGTGGGCTGCATGGGCTGCCAGCTTTCCTGGGTTTGCAGGATGCGGTACAGCTGCTTCAGCTGAGCAACAATGTTATCCTTGATGTCTGGAGTTGAGATCTGCAGGCGGACACTGCCACTGTCAAAGGATCGTGTGAAATCACCAGAAAACATCTCATAGATCATCCGAGCCACCACCGGAATGACCTGTTCAGGACACAGAGCACACAGCTATCCACTGAGGAAAGGGTATTTTTAAACAGCAGGAGGGGCCCAAGATTGACCGAAGGACCAGTGAGGCTGTGGGGAAGCCCACCACTTTAATGTCTAGATACAGACTATGCCTTCATCTCTCTGGACCATCCTGCCAAGGTTCACTTTAGAATTTGGTTCACATGAAGGTAAAGAACCTAGAAGTAGCATCACATCACATGCCTAAATAAATAACTGCTTATTTAGCAAGACTTTTACCCAAATTTCATCTACTGCCTGTCTTGATGCACAAATCCACAGCCAAACCCAAGTAGTCTTGCTGCCACTTTCCAGAATGAGAACACGTTCTTAAAAGGACCTCAAAAGGTTTTTTCTAAAAGTGCTAGAAAGAGTCATGTCCTGTTAGGTTTCAGCAAGACTCTAACGTCAGTAAGAGAATAAGGTCTCCCCTGAATCAGTCACTTGCTTTGAGGACACTGTATTCTCCAGCCTGGTCCTACTGTACAACGTACAAAGCTCAAGTTGCTACATCTGATGGGATTAAAACCCACAGAGGCTGATGGATCCTCACTCAGGGCTCAAGCCCAGACCTAGGGGCTAAAGCATTGATAAAAAGGCAAAGAGTTGTTGACACATTATTATCTCCTCACCTGAACCAAGATGAGTTTCCTTTCCTGAGGTTTCCCATCTGGCCATTCTTCCCCAAAGCATAAGTAGATCTCAAATGGTGGCTGTTTCTCTATCTGTCCTTTCTGGTGGGCAATGAGATCTGTAGAACATGGAAGAGCATGGAGTTTGGGGTACTGGGTCATTCCACACCTACTCAGTAAACACTTTCTTTTATACTGTCCAGAATAGTAGCCACTGGCCACAACATGTGGGTACTGAATTTAAATTCATTAAAATTAAATAGTTCCTTAGTCACATTAGTTACATCTACATACTCAATAGCCACATGTGGCTAGTGGCTACCATATTGAACAATACAAATATAGAACATTTTCATCATCTCAGAGAGTTCTATTGGACACCGCTTAAACCAGACTTAGGGTTCAAATCACATTGGAAAATTCACATCTCAGTGCTCTCCCTAAATATGTCTGCTTAAATTTGCCACGCAAACATGTCCCAAATGAGAAGAGTATATGCTTTGCTGATTATGATGAACAGGGTCACCTTCCAATGTTAAGGATAAGCTGGTAGAATGTGGGCAGCAATAACAAGGCTGTCTCCTTCTTCTGCCAATAAAGGAGCCACAACCACCTAAAACTGGCTTCAAATGCATAGCTTTGGAGTGGAACACCCTTCTTTGTTGCCCAGGTCACTTTTATTTTTCAGAATCAAGGTCCCCTTCTACCGTGACTTCCTCAAGAAGAAATTGTTTGGTTAAGATCTTTGCAGAGCCAGGAAAGGGGGGCAGGAAGGAGGAAGACATACTTGCAGGGAGCAGTTCCCACCATCAATCGTCTGAAAAAAGACTCACCACTAAGGAACGTTTCCAGACAAAAGAGTTTGACCTTCTTTTGTCTCTCGATCAGGTTGGGGGCAACAAGCGATGGGGCACATGGCCCAGACCAGTACACCTTGCACTGGCACAGCCTGATAGCATAGATGGCATGACCGCTGACCTCCAGGATCAGTCCTCTGTCCATGACGTCTAGCAGTTTGCTGGTGAACAGCTTCTGCTTCTCATTGGTGATGTGCTCCGGACCTGGGAACTTGACCTGCTCCAGGCTGACGGGACCAAAGAGCTCCTCCTGGTCAGGCATGGGACCCAAGTCTCCATAGAAGAGCCTGCAGCCCTGGGGGTTGCTCACCGTCATGGTCTGTGCATACTCCTTCCCACGGTACTGAAATTTGATGTCCAGGTCAGTCACTGCAAGGTGAGGGGGGACAGTGAGAGTCCTGCACTGCTGCTCTGCCCATCCATCCCTAAGACTCATGCAAGTCCATCAAGATCAAGCCACCTTTCAACCAGCATTCAGGAAGGCCATTGCCATAGTTATCCTTCCTGCAACAAAGGGAGACATCAACATATCCCTGGAATATTCACTCAAAAGGCTGCCTTGAAGCAAATAGTTCAAATTCCATCTACACTATCACTGTTCAGTCACCACACCCTAACAGCTAGAATTTCTCCAACCAAAGTTCTGGGTCCTGGTCTCCCCATTTTGTACTGACTGAGTCTTTGCATCAATAGGCATTGGAAGGAGCTGAAAACTAAGGCAGCATCTGGTTTGTGTATCATTTTTGACTCACTGTTTAAAGAAACCAGAGGAACAATAAGAAATACCAAGGCATATTTCTGAAAATTACACAGACGAGCACACACTGTTGATATGTTCTAATAATATATCACAGAAGGACACAGTTCACAACAAAGTAAATTTTCACTCAGCAAGTGTCCATTGAACCCTATAGGTCTTATCAAAGCTATCAGCCTCTTGGACAAAATGCTAGTACTCCCCTGGCACCTCCCCTACCATATGTAGTGTGAAAGGGAGGTGCAATGACAATGATTCTTCACTGAGATCAATTTGTACCCAATTCAGAAAGAGATTTTCTCTGGGTCCTAAAGTCCCTCAAAACCCAAGAGCCTCCTTGACCAAATCCACAGTCATTAACTTCCCCAACCCACAACTGACCTTATCCTCAAATCCCCTGGGCAAACTGATAAACCCAGGCCTTCCACCCACTTAATAGGTGAGTAACCTAGAGCTGCACAGCACCAATCAGAGCATCCCCATGGGCAAGTAGGTATGGGCTAATGTTTCTTTAGTTCCTGGTGACTCATCAGCCAGCCAGGAACCAGACACAGAGGCTGCCTGGGGGACTATTCTATACATGGCAAAGAAATGGAGGCAGAAGGTGGGGCAGGAAATGGACTGTAATAAGAGCTGAAGATCCAACTAGAAAATCAAGGCTCACTTACTTGGGAGAGAGCTGATCCACAGCTCTGGAGAGCTATAGAAAGGCTGTATAGGTGCCTGGGGTACTTCCATCTCCAGAGGTTCTGTTTTGGGCCACACTGCTTCGGGGCTGCAGTTGCCCACACTGCAGTTGCCCACACTGGCTGGTGCTATGGGAGAACCTAGAACAGAAGGATGTGGGTGAGCATGCAGGAGCACCACACGTGCATATCACCTGGGTCCGAAGCTCTCAAACCTAAAAGGTCCAACACTGGACCACAACTCACTGTGGCAGCCCATCAGTAATTCCCACAACAAACACCAAAAGAAATAAGGTTCCCCCGCTCCTGCTTCCTAATCTTATTAGTTCTCTCATAAACTCATAATTCTGAAAACATGCATTTGCTGATGATTAACAGACAAGTGGGTACTCTCTGGGGTTAAATTAGAACAGGCATGAATGAGAGATTCCCTGTTACAAAATTTGAACCCAGCGATTAAACAGAAACTGCTTGTCTTCCATAAAATGAACTCAACTAAATTGGTTGATTAGCTTCGAGTAAGTGTTAATGTATAGAAATTCCTTTAAAAACAAACACATACTTTTTTACATGCATGAAACATCTGGAAGGATACTCAAGAACCTGGAAAGATCTGTCTCCTCCAGGGAAGGAACTGTTCAGACAGGTTAGAAGGAAAACCTTTCAGCTGATTTCCTTTTTGTACCATTATGAATTTTAAACCATGTAAGAGTATTACTTATTCAAAAGTATCCAGTTAAAGCTTTTAAAAGAGAGAATGAAAAACACATCCTATATCCCTATTGTCAAAGTTGGCTCACTCCAAAGTTTACAGATTTTTCCTCCTAGCCTCACCTTTTAAGCATCTATTCTTCAACAATTCTTCTTCCTCTGCCCAACAGCTCTGAAATCAAAGAGGTTAAGGTTTCTTTGACCCTTTGTGTACGAGTCTGGTTATATCTATGTATTTTACTTTTTTATTTTTCATATATGTTCACATGTTTCCATAAAGGATCCAAGGTGGTCCATAACATAAGGCCACACAACATTAGCTTTAAAAAAACATAAGCGGGGGCTTCCCTGGTGGCGCAGTGGTTGAGAGTCCGCCTGCCGATGCGGGGGACACGGGTTCGTGCCCCGGTCCACATGCCGCGGAGCGGCTGGGCCCGTGAGCCATGGCCGCTGAGCCTGCGCGTCTAGAGCCTGTGCTCCACAACGGGAAAAAGAAATAGAACATTTTATCAAGATTATCAGAGTAAAATCACCATTATTTGTCCATCGATTAGATTAATTCATTCATAAATATTTGGGTATCTTCTGTACAATTCTGGGAACACAAGTGTGAACAAAACACATACTCTTTGCCCTTATGGGTTTTAGTCCAGTGGGAAACCCAGATGTTTACAATTTAGGGTGATGCATATGCTGCCATAGAAGGCAATGAGTGTCCAGACTACTAATCTTGAAGGCTCATGGATGGGTAGGTCTTGACCAGGGAAAATAAGCAGGGAGAATTATGTTGCAGGCAAAAAGAAACTGTGTATCAGCTTGGAAATGAGAGAGAGACAGTGATACATTGTGGAACTGAAAGCCACATTGTGGCTATATTTTGGGTTTGGAGAGGAGGCCAGGACCAAATCATCCAGAGTACTGAAAAATCCTAATGAAAGGTTTGGGCTTTATCCTTTGAGCAGAAGGTAAACATGGTATGGTTTTAGGCAAGGGGGATTCAGGGTCAAATGTCCATGTTAGAACAATTATTTTAGTTACGGATATTTTAGTTACAAGTAAGAAACTTAAGCCAAAGGCAAAGAAAGTGGTCCAGGGAAGTTCAAAAAAAAAAAAAAAAAAAAAAAAAAAAAAAAAAACATGAAAAAATAAAAAGGGAAATCAGGATCCTGGAAATGGGTTGCATCCTTTTAAGGAGTGAGAATAACAGAATGAGTCAGCCAAAGATTTGGGAAAGGATCTGACATTTCCAAATGTCCAAATCTTAAAATTGCACCAAGTGGGAATGTAGCTGTGGCAATATTAACCTGAGAGAGCTCTATGATCATTGTCTTTACTCATCACTTGGTTGCAAAGTTATAAATGACAGGGTAAGTGAAGGAGGGCAAGTAGACAGATAAGAGTCATTCCCTGATTCTCAAAAGAAGGGGCATCACCTAGAGTAGGGTACTCCAAAATCCTATAGGAATCATCTTGATACACTAAATTTTCTAGGTGGCAAAAGTATCTCATTTGACCCTAGCAGCCAGATGGAACTTAGAAAAGTAGTGAAAAGCTACTCAACTGAATGCAAGTCATATGACTAGGAGCATGTCCGTGAAAAGTTCAAGTGAAGATGCCGTGGAAGAGCAATTCACCTTGTGTTTGAGCATCCTCAGAATGTGCAACGGGAGATGCAGTACCTGCTCTGTCTCACAGTGACCCTGCAACCTCTAAACTCATCTTTCCTGGGCAGCTGAATTCAAAAAGTCAGTTTAAAAAAAAGATAAAAGTCTCTAGTAGACAAATTTTATCAGAGCCTAGTATTAAGAGCTGTAGAGCCACAAGTTTCCCATGATACAGCCTTAGCAGACGCTGTTAAGGCAGTGACAGAAAATTTATACCGAGGGAAATAGCAGAAGAGTTTGCCTACAATTCACGAAAATGATCTCTGCACTTGGCCTGAAGGAAACCAGCAAAATTTATAATACCTTGTGTATTTGTATGCGGGATTGAGAATGAATTTAATTTTTTAATTTCTCTGAATTATCACATAAGATTCAGAAGATGCTCTCTCTGCCTAGAAGCCACCCCACTGGGATAACTATGCCTACGGAGTTCCTTTGCCTATGACTCCTACTTGCTAACAGACTGGCAGCCTGGCCACAGGGCCTGGTCGCTGCTTCCAGTGCAATGGTGGATATGGTGTCAACGGTTGCAAAATCAAAGCCCCTTACATCCTCTCCATGCCTCTGTCCCACCCCCCACCCCACTCACCATTGATGTTCAGGAAGGGGAAGGTGTCCTGGATGGGAACGTGGTGTTGTGACTGGTCCAGCTCATCTTCCTCATCTTCTTCATCCACATCATTATCTTTCTCATCCCAAGGAGCAGATCCAGTGGATCCTACCCAGGAAACAGACACACACACACAAAGGTCACAAGTGAGCCGCTCACGTTGCACTGTCATCCCTGCAGCTGACCCACTGTTCAAGCTAGGCACTGCCAGCACAGAGGCTCCTTGGGTTCAGTGTGCACCCTCAATGCCAAAGAGTGGGAACCAAGGGTGTTCACCCCACTCCCAGCTCCTCCTACAGAGCCCCAGTGCAAGCTCTCATCCCCTCCCCTATCCAGGAGCTGCAGACCCTACTCCCTTCTCCTAGAAATCTTTTAATTCCTACTCTAAACCCCTTTCTACACATTAGCATCCCTTCTAAGGACCCAAGGAGCACAGCTTCTCTCCTTTGTAAGCTTAATGTGAAGACAGACCCTTCCCTCATGGCAGAGCCTCACTAGATTCACTGGAGATCAAGTCTAAATTATCTGGCTCTTAGTCGGAACTTGCTAAACATTGAGTAAATATAGGGATCAGGTGGTATTCTCCTAGGAAAAATACCATACAAATTAAATGATCACTTACCCATCATTTATAAAGAGAACTTAATAGCCTTCATAATGTCATGTCAATTGATTCTTAGAACAGCCTTTGAAATACGCAGGAAAGATGAGAACCCAGATTTTATAGTGGAAGAAGCTGAGGCTCAAAAGGTTGAATGACTTGATTCAACGTCCCACAAGTAGTGAAATGGAAAGAACGAGGTTTATAACTCAGACCTTCTAAGTTTTAATCCCTCCTTCTTCTAAACTATCTGGCCTCTCTTCTCAGTGTTGAGTCCCAAGAGAAGTTATTTTTTTACAGAACTCAATACCCCCTCTTCTTTCTAATGCTTTACTGTTCCACTGGGTGGGCAGGAAGACCTTGCTGAGTTTATATCTTTTGTTCTCCGGGTTCTTTCTAGGGACAGGATTTCTTGCTTTACCAGTCTTCAACTTTGTAAGCGAGGCGACTTTCAAGTCGACTATCGCTTTAAGGGTCCAGCCTGGAACCTGGCACACTGTCCACCTTCTCCCCAGCAGCTGGGGCCTCACCTGGGTTAATTATAGAGCCCTGGGGCTGGGGGATGTCACACACTTGATATATCTTCACTGGGTTCATGGGCACCTCCTTGGTGCCGTCGTACATCAGGTTGAATTCCCTGCTCTTGTTGAGCGCACAGCGGAGCTGGGCCTTCCATTTAGCTGGGTCGGGGTCGTCCACCCCTTCCTGGTACTTCCCTGTCTCCACAGCCCAGGCCTGAGGGATAGGAAATTGCAGTGAGTGCCTGCTTGTTGCCCAGAAACACTGGAAAGTGTGCCCACCCTCCCTCATACAGACACAGATACACACAGCCCTGCCTGACCGCCCCATCACCCCAACTCCAATTTACGGAGACTGCAGCAGGGAACACCACGCCGGGGACCAGGCAAGGCAGGGCCTGAGAGAAATTAAGCCAAATGCAAATACAATATTTTAAAAAGAGGAGCCTCATCTCAAGTGCTTGTGCCAGCATCATCTGTCAAGACTACAATGGCCATAATGAAGGGTTGAAAATAAAGAAAAATCTGGAACAAATATACACCAAAATACTAATGGTAACTTTTGGATAGCAAGATTTCAGGTAATTTTGTTTTGTTTTGTTTGACTTATTTTTCACATGAATTGCTTATATAATAAGAAGAGAAAGGGAGATGGCGTATGATATGAAGAATTTAGGCTTGCTGTTCCCTCTCCCTTCAGTCTTCAATCTGATGCACAAATAACTGTTGAAACCAAGTACCTTTAGGAGTAGCAGACCATAGGAGGGCAGGAAGCACGCTCTGGGGGTTCAGCTTGCCTCAGTGGGAGGCTGAGGGCCTCAAGTCCTAATAAACTCACACCACCTGCCTTTCCCTGCTTCCTCAAACTCCCACACTGGGAACATTTTGCTGGGAACACCAGTGGCTGGTGGCCTGGGCCAAAACCAGTGTGGCCCCGCCTCTCTGGTTTTCAATTTCCAGGTCTAACGGGCATTTATGTGTCTGTTCACGGGATATCAGCCCTCCCCCATTGTGAACGTATCTCAGATGTCTACACTTTTTTCAGGGCTGTGACGTATGTGCTGGTGCAGAAAAGGCGGATGTCTTTTGCAGAGGACTCAAGATCAGGAAGCACACGGCAGCTTGTTCACGTGGACAAGGCGTATCACTTGTCCCCGCCTCCGCTCCTGAACGTAGACTACTCCCTCAAGCCGAAATGGAATTTTTCTGGCCCCATCCTTTGAGCTCCCTGGTCTCCCTCAGTCAAGCCCTGCAGAGCCTCACAATCATGAGGAAGCTTCTCCCAATAGCCGAGCTAAATCCTTCTCCAACTCACTCATTTCTTCTTACCATCTTCTCGGACCTGGGGGCTCCTCCACTTGGTGTGCAGTATGGAATGAAGCATTCTGACAAAGCTGCTGCCCTTGGGCACTCAGCAGGCTCCATTCCATCCAACTCCCTGTAGGGGATTTCAACCTCACCAGTCCCTAGTGTCAGAGAGGCACATCTCCAGTTGCACCTGGCAGTACCTGGCTGCTACCTCCTCACGTTCTCCCCTCTCTTTGTTTGATCCTCCGTGCCCACTCCCCCTCTGGCCCCATCCAGCTGGCTTGGGCTGTGCTGACTTTGGCACAGGTCTGCAAAATTTCTGTGGCTCCCTGACTCCCTGCCCCTCCACAGAGAGAGCAGCCAGACTAACATCCTGCTCACAACACAGCCATTCCCCCGGGCCCACTCAGATGATGCAGAGAACCTGAGGCTGATGCAGCGGAGGGTGGTACCCACCACATGACAATCGTTGTGCTTTATAAACATCCCTTATTCAAACCTGAGTCTTGCTTCTGAGATTCTGTTCACTGGGCAGGTCCCTATTTCTCTTCCTAAAATGGACACAGTCTCTGCATTTTTATGGCAATTTACGAGTCCCTTCCCATACACTGATTTCACTCAATTTTCACAACAATCCTGTGAGGCAGGCAAGACTGGTTTTAGCCCCACTTTACTGAAGGGGAAGCTAAAGCCCAAAGAGATTATGTGACTTGTTCAAGACCACACATGCAAGTGATGGTAGTAGGATCTGAAGCCAGGTCTTCCAGCTCCTGGTCAGAAGGGGCCGTCTGATAATGGGGGAGCTGATAGGCCTGGGTTCAAACCCTAACCCCACCACTTATTGGCTGTGTGACTTGGGCAAGTTACATAGCCCCTCTGAGACTCAGCTTTTGCATCTATAACGTGAGGGTGCCGCCCCCCTTACAGTGTTGTCGAGAAGCAAATGAGATAATGGACCTAGGGTAGGCAGCAGGCACCCACTTAATGCTAGTCAGAACTGCCCACACCCCATATCCTGCCAAAGGCCTGTCAGGGCTTGGGATCTGTGAAAGCACCCTCACTCGTCTCCTGACACCCAGGCACTCCCTTAGCATTCTGCAAACAGATACACAGATATAAGTAAGACAAAGCAGCTTCCCACAGCCAACTTTTCCTCAAGCCCTAAGCATACAGAACATTCTTACGAGTGGAGCTTTCAGGAACCAGCCTCCTCCCCCACGGCCAGCCACCACCAGGCACTTCAACAGCAAGTCCAGTTTCAGACCAAGGCCACAGCGAGAGGCCAGCTGGGCCAGGGCAGGCCCATCCCCCTCCAATGCCAGCTCCAATAAATGGTGCTGATTTACAGATGTTTTCCTTACCACTTTCATATCATTATTTAACTTTTACATTAAAAGCATTCATTTACTTTCTAAGTATTCACAGGCCAATTTTTTCTCTACCTCTCATCTCTACACCCAATATAACTGAGTTGGGTGGGAAACAACTCTAAGTTGGCTTTCTGAGGTATGAGCCCACATTTCCTGGCCCAGTCTCAGCAAGAACCTGGAGCATCAATCTTGAGGGGCTCAGGGTAGGGACTGGATTTCACTTCTGACTTCCAGCTTATAGTCAGGGAAGAAATGGGGCAACTCATTTCTCCATGTCTTGGGAGTGCAGGAACTAAAGCTACTCATGAGATGGAAGACTGACCAGCACAGAGAAGCTGGTCTGGAGCAGAGGCATGGGCTCCGGAGTTACAAACCACATAATACCCCTTCCCACAACTAGCTTCCCACCTACTTCTGTCTTAGACTTTGGTTTCACTTACATTTTATGAAATGCCATGTGATTCAATCTTATTTTCAGTGAAGCAAAATAACTCTCACATCAGAGCTACTCTTCAGTTAAGAAAACATATTTGTAGAATAAAAACCTGTAATTAAATCGCCTTTCATTTTTAAGCGGAGGTTATGGATGGGGCAAAATGTTTTAACATCAAAAGAAAAACTTGCAAAGGGCCCTCGACACCCATGCTACAGGCTGGTAGGAGCCTGCTAACCCTCAGTAGCTGTGCCCTGATCTGGACAGCCATTCCCGGGCCAGTGCAAGAGCCCTGAGCGAATGAAGGGTTGATTGCTGGCTGACCCTTGGGAGCTCTAGCACAACCACAGCACACACGCACTTACAGGAGTTTAACCAATCACACCTGGGATCCCTTGGGATGTGAGTTGAGTAGCTTTGACCAATGGGGAAGAATAAATGGCCTCAACCATAACAGACATGCCCCAACAAGAGAAATTACTATGCCTGCTAAGCTTGCCCCCACCCCCCATCATAAACATTCTCTTTGTTGCATCAGCATTTTGGATCTAGTACCTTCTTCAAGCCAAAATTGAAAACAGAAGAACAAAAAACCAGAAAGGTCTGAGAGAACTGGAAAACACTTCAGGTCAGATGGTAAAAGAATACCTTTACCTTGAAAATGGTATTTTCCTCCTCCTGTTGGGGGCTATGCCGGGTGGCATGTTTCCAGGGAATCTGGAAGCGTTTGGAGTCCCTATGTAGCCAGATGAGCCCAGGGTACAGGCCACTATCCACTTGGGCCACCAACCAGGGCTTCAGCCGAACTCTGCGGGGGTGGAGAGCCATGTTCTGGGTTGGCGGGAGGGGGAAGAAATGAGGAGAGAATTAGGCCAGCCCCTGGGAAAAGTTCCCAGCCACTGTTCCCATATGATAGAGCTACAGTTTCATTAGATTACAGCAAAGAAACTAAATATGGGAATAAACTGTGCCAGGTGGGGAAGAAAAGAAAACAGGTTAAAAGGTTCTTTTGATTCTTATTCCAAAGCCATTTATTTTTCATGCTCTAGCCAAATCAGACTTATCACGTAAGTAGATCACACTTCTATTTAAATCCTGAGGCAGAAAAATAAAGAGATGATGTCATCCCTGCTGGAAAACAGTCCTTCCGCAAGTACCAAGGGAAGAGAAGAGAAACTGCTCTTTTCAATCTCATCTCGGGAGAAGGAAGAAAAAAGTTATGGAAACAGCAGGTGTATAGGCAAGAACTTGAAGCATGCTCTCTTTTTAGACAACTAAGGTGAATGGGAATGTTTTAGTAAGAAATGACAGCATCGTGATGAGAGAGAAGTAGGCGAGGGATGGTCCCTGGTTCCAAAGTCCTCACTTACATAGATGAGCAGGCAGTGTATCCACAGGGATCTGAGAGCTGGGCCTCAAGTCAGTTTTCCTTTCTCTGGGCCACCCAAAGTTTCTGCACCAAAAAAAACAAAAATGCGGGGTTGGGGTGTCTGAGCTGGTTATCCCCACGACAATCCAGTGTCTAGGAGAAGGCTTGGGAGCACTGGAGACAAAGTGTAAGAACCCTGCCCCGTATCTGAGTCTGGTAAAGCTAAGATGCCCTAGAATGATCAAATACCACATTTCCTAACCCTATAGAGTACTAAAACTAGTCATAAGACAAGCTCTGTACTGCTAGAACAGCCTCCTCACCTGGGTCTATTTACCTCCCCACAGAGGCTGAATTGAACTGATTGGTTGCTGGAGCCAGCCTGGGTAAAGTCTGCAATTGATTCTCATAAAGGGCATAGCGTAGCAGATAACATTCGGTGGCAGCAGCCAGCACTCACAGCAGGAAACAAAGGCCTGCCCAGATTGGGTGCCTAAAGGAAAAAGCAGTTACCGGAGAAGTGTTTGCCTGGGGTGTTGTGTTTAGATTTTTTGGCATTCTCATTTCTCTTTGTTTTTACTTCAGGTGAGAAAGACAGGCCTGCAAAAGAACATTCATTCAACAAATATTTGTCCGTCAGCTACTGTATGACAAGGGCGACATTAGTTACTAAACACAATGTTCTCATCAGACTCCCTGAAGAAATCCACATTGGAATTGCTCAAACATCCACTGACCTGAGAAAAGGAAGATAAGTAAGTCACCTTCCCACCCAGAAAGATTCCCACCTGGATGGCGGTCCAGAAACCAAACCAGCTGAGTCAGCCGAAGGCTCCCCCTCGGAGGAACTTAGCTTAAGGGGTGGGCCCTAAGGCCACCTCTCTCCCCAGCCAGGCTCCCAACAAACGGGAAAACTCAAACCCAGCTCGGTCACTGGCACTTTAAGAGCACGGCAGGACCTGCTCTCACCTGAGCCTTCTGACCCAATTACCAAGTTCTGCAACTGAAACCTTCCCCCCTGGGAGCAGCTCACAGTGGGTAGGTGAGGTAGCACTCGGCATT